CCCCCCCCAAAAAAAAAAAACCCCAGCAAATATTCTAAACCACAACAAAATTAGCCTGTTTTACCAAATAAATAGAAAAGTCACTAATGCTTGGCCAGGTGACAGCCTAAGGGCAAACTGTGGTGTGATGCGGTGTGATGGAGGAAGTAAAGAAAAATCCTGTCGTGAAGAACCTGTTAAGAAGGAAACAGCTTGTAGCTCGTAGCAGGATGCTCTGCAGAGTGGGGATAAAACAGCTCCAACAATACCCTGCTTGCAAAGCTATGAGTGGAGAATGGAGAAGGCTGTGCCATGCTGCTTTTGGTGCTGAAGAATGCTGGAACCAGCCTGACTCATCAATCCCAAGCGTCCTGAGGAAAAGCAATGTTTCCTCATAGAAACTGGCACCCCTGAAGATGTGGAAGACCTGATAAAGTGCCTGATAAAGGAACAAACAAGTGATACTACTGATAACTTAGCTAAAGCTGCTGAGCTAACGCAGCTGGCCTGGAGACATCTGGCCAACAGTCAGTCATATATAAAATATAAAAACCCAGTCTGACTTTTGAGTGGTAGAGTCTTTAACATACCTTCTGGTAGTGAGTGTGCAGTTTCCCCCTTGAGTGGGGGCACCCCTCAAGGTTACTCCTGCAGGCTGAGGGAACAGATTTGCTCACAGTCATTGATATGCATGACTAACATCAATCTCCACTTACTAATTGTTTTTGCTAGCTTTTATATAGTTGCTTCAATATTATTTCAAAAATAGCACACTATACTAGTAGTTAGAGCTACCTATACTGTGTAGTAAAAAATTCTGACTAAGGTCTTTTTAGTCTATCACTACCATTATCAAAATCAATCTGAATAATTTTTTTAAATGTAAATATATTTGGGTTACCATTCTTAATCCTGCAGGGCAAAGTTATATATATGTCTCAATTACACCTATATAAACCATTGACTAAGTCTTCAGACTTTGAAGCTCCCATTCCCCCTGCAGCAGAGCTCCAGTGGTGCACTGAGGCCATATCCCCAGGATACGTGCCACACAGCTGGCTGTAAGAGGCTGGCTGGCCCACAAGGTTTGTGATGCACTTTCAGCAGCACCCCATGGTGCCCAGTGCCTCTGGCCACTGTGTTGGGTTGCTATGAAGCACAAGTGATGCTCAGTATAGGGTAAAGCCTTCCTGACTTGGAGCCCTGCAGAGCACTGAGCACCTCTTTGTCTTTGAACATCTTTCCTCATCATAAATAACATGCTTTTAAAGTATGGTGCATCCACCAGCTCCAACTGAAGTACTGAGGGTTTAGCACCCCTTTTTAAGGCACACAAAGAAAGCTTCATCCTGGCTTTGGAAAGGGGATCTCAGATTTGTTGTTACAGAAGTCAGTAGTCAGCTTCCCTTTACCTGAAATTAGATTTAATAGGGATTTCTAGCTCTTTTTTCCAAAGCTTTACACTGGGAGCCAGGCACCTTGCGTTCCATTGTGATCCTTCCCAGTTAACTTGAACTGGTAGGTGGGTGCCAGCAGTGTCACAGCATCACTGGACGCTAGGAAGCTCTCCCACAACTCCAGATTCACTGTTCCACCCAGCTACAATGCCTGGTGGGTGCTTGATGAACCTCCTCAGCGAATGTTAAGGATCACATCCTCTTGCTGGTTTGCTCATCTCATGTGCTGCTTGCAGCTGTGATCACTGGGCTTTGCACTTCCATTAAGCCATAAGTATAAATGCACAACTCCACATCACCAGTTAAATGACACGAGAAATTTAATAACAGATAAAGAATGAGAGGTTTATTGGACTGTCAGATAAGCACAGCAAACTACTAGATGTCTCCTATCAAAAA